ATGGATGCTGGTGAGAGAATAACTTAAGCAGAAAAAGTTGCAATCACAGGAATAATGCAATCCATCTGACATGTCCTGAGTTTCTACTCCTCTTCCTGGTGTTGTGTTCAACCGAGGTAGAGGTTTCACTCTGATCTCAGCAGTAGGGATGTTATGGTGAGTTATTGGTGCCCAGAGTCTCTCACAGGCTGAAAGAGGGTGCTCACATTAACAGTCTCCCTCAGCAGGAGCAATGCTAGAAGAAGGTAAAGCACGAGTGGAAACGTTATCGCTGCAATCAGTCCAGATCAGTTTGTGTTGCCCTGTGGTCTACAAACACCTGCCAAGCTCATTGCTCCCAGGAAAGTAAGTAAGTCTCCAACACACCTGCGCCCTCCTGGGCTGCTGGAGGGCCCATGCTGGTGCAGGGCACAGGGACTCATTTCCCAGAGGTTGGGGGGGTTGTAAAACCTCATGGAGTCCCACAGCCTACGACCAAGAAGCCAGCAGTCTTGGAGTTCATCTGCACGGTTATCTAAATTATCTAAAAAGGGATGTCTGGATCAGCACCAGCTCATGCCCACTGCACCATTTGCTGGTGTGTGTCCTGGCACACTATGGCCATTCAAGCAGTGCCCTCTGGGACAGTGTCTGGCTGTGGTAGAGGACGCTGTGTGGACCTGGGCTGTTGGGACCACATGGTGCTGCTCCCAACATGCAGTGGGGATGAGGGAACCTGCTCCTCAGGAAGGGGTTAGCACAATTGTGCTGCGCCACTTTCTCCCTGATGGACCCTAGTCCCCATTAGATTATTAAAACAGAGTAAGAGGGATTGTGTAAGCTGGAGGCAAATCAAAGATACTCCATGGCAAACAGTTAAGGTCATGCCATGATGACTACCCTTTGGTTGCTACTCTGTCGATCCGTAATTGGGTAGTGTGAGGATCTGCCAGTGGACTTGCACTTTCTCCCGTTCACCTGGCAGAGCAGATAAGAAGAAAGGGCAATGCTGAATATCAGCAGCTATGTGGAAAGCTGAGGTGACTGAGGACGGAGGTCAACAAGGGCAAACTGGTGAAAGAAAAGAGAAGGAGCTGGAAAATGAGGATGCGACAGGGAAGCAAGGTCCAGGGGTGAATTAAATGAGAGCAAGATCACTGAAGGCAAAGGGAGGACAGGTTATTGCGGCCTGCCTCCTCTGCAGGGGTACCTGGATACCACCCTCGGGCACCTGACAGTGCTGACGGAGCCGCCCAGCCCTCTTAAGGAAGGGGCCCGTGGACTGAGCTCTGTCAGTGCCATGGGGCTTGGAGCTCCAGGGCTTCAGAGCCTCTAGTCCACGGTAAGTTTTCTGATTCTTCTCATGCTTCCTGTAGGCTGAGCTAGAGCTGCTGCAATTACGCAAGTTTTTTCTTACTTCTCACTTCGGTTGCTTGTTATTCCTTATCTCTCTGGGTTCTGATTCTCATTTGTCCATGTCCTGCCATGTCCATCTCTTCGTCCATGACTGCTTTTAACATAGATGTACCAAGATGTACCTAAACCTTAAGTTCTCATTGTAACTAACATGGTCTTCTGGATTAGTAATAGGGATTTTTTGTAAGAGTTCAGGTCATCATGTGTTTCCAGTGTGTTTGTACTCCCACCTCTGCTTTTTTCCCCCGTCTTTTACTTTCTTCAGTAATTGTTCCCTTTGCCTAGATCTCAGTTAGCACAGGAGACTGCTCTGTGTCTGGATTCTCCAAGTCATCCTTAGCATCCTTGGGTTTTTCCTGCTAAAAATTTCATCTGTTTTCACCTCTGATCCTTCTACAGCTTGGTTTCTTCATCTAGCTTGTGTGTTTGCATGCAGAGTTTTCTTTTGTTGTTGCCTTTTCGAGGGGGAAAAGGTGTAGGAGAACTCCAGAAGCAATTTACTCAACCTGTTTTCCTATCTTTGTGCTGCATTTGACCCAGAATTAGGGTCAGCAGTCAGCCAGTCTTAAATGTCATAGTCCATTAAAGTCAATGGGGACACTTTACACGGACTGAGAACTGGCTATAAGATAAGTCTCTTGGGGATAATCCATGTTTCCCATGTGCTTGTAAAGGGTGTCTGCAATGCCTTCCCAGTATGAAATGTATTTGTAGTATGGAATTGCAAAAGTACCAGGGCAAATTCCTGAGAACTGACCCATTTTTGGCCGCTGGACAGACTTCTATTTTGAAGTATGACTTTCTAATAGGCAGGACCGTGTTCCCTAGAGCCCGTGCTGGTGCTCCACGTTGGAAGGCAGCGCTCAGCAGCAGGGCCTGGGACTCAGGCTGGGGAGGCTGCCTGCAGCAGGGCTGTCCTGACACCCCCTTGCTGGGGGAGCAGAGCCCAGCCGGCTCCCAGGAATAGCTGCAAAATCTGGGCAACCTCTTCGTTGGTGCAACCTGCTGCCCCATCCTCACTGCTTGTTGAGTGTTCAGAGAACTACTCTCCACGGACTTCATTTTTGAAGCTCATCTGCACAGCGCCCAATTGTCCGTAGTCAGCATGTGATTTTTCTCCTTTTTCATAGCACTTTGCTACATCCCATGTGATGTTTCGCTGTGTTCCTGCGCAGTAGCACACATCTGTTTGTTCAGTTACTGTGAACTATGCATCAATACTAGATTAACAGCTGGGCACTCATTTTGGATATAAGCACTCTGAAATTCTTCACTGATGAAGTTGTGCTGTAATTCATTTGCTAACGATGCTTCTGAGCTGAATCAAGAGGAGAAGGCGAGAGGAGGGAAAGAGGAAAGTGGACACCACTTAAAACTGTCCCAAGCTCTAGAATTTTGCAAAAGCTTTGTTTTCCAACCTGCATGTCTTGGTGTTGGGGCGTCTCAGAAATATAAATTCTATGAATCATAAAGCAGTGTTTTAGCTCTCTACTTTTGGATTTAATAACGCCTTCCCATCCTAAGCATTCCGTGTAGGCTGCAGGTAATATGAACTTCAAAGGACTTTTCTTAGGAAAGATAATGTTTGATTATTGCAACTTCCTTTTCATATATTTTCCTTCTTGCAGATGCAATGGAGTTGTGGAGCTCCTTAGCTTAACTAACCATCCTCTCTGGGAACTGCACACGATTCTCTAGGTTTACAAACAGCCTCCTAGAAATCAGATCCTATCGTGATAAATAAAAATTAAACAATAATTTTTTCAGCTTCAAGTATTGTCAGCTTATTGTGGGGTGTTGCTTATCTTTTGCATGCTTTGGTGTTAACTATTTCTGGTGGGACTTCTGACGTTAACGGCTAACAATGAACAAAGACCTAATTATTAACCGTTGGCGTCAAGAAGGACATTCCAGCTTTGGCACTTGTCTTGGGAGATACAGATGTGAAATTCCCCTCCTGGCAAAGATGTGAAATTCCCCTCCTGGCAAAGTTCCTCTGGTTAGTTCAGTGCAAAAGCTGAGAACACGACCCTGCTTTGGACTGGAAGATGCCGTCACACTGACTGCTAATGCTTAGTCCTGGCCTATGTGTGCTAAGCCTCAGCTGCAGCTGCTCCAAGACCGCTGCAATTTCAACACCTGGGTATGAGGGCCTGCAATTGCACCACCATGGATCATCTTTCATGGGATGGATCTTCTCAATGGTGCTTTTTTCCTTAAGATTTTTTTCATTGATCCTATTACTTTTAAGGATTAGGGCAAATACAGTAAAATCAGTTTTGCAGATACAGCCTGTGGGATGCAAACCTGCCATGTGTATAATTCAAATAGCTTTTTTTATGGTTACCTTTAGCAGCACGCACACTCTGGTGCACAGTGTTGTGCCTCTGCTGGGACCACTGGCCTACTGGTTTTCAAGGACTGCACTTGGCATCTTCCTACATCTCGCCCTGCTCCCACACTTTCACCATGCCCTGTCCTCAGCACAAATGCACATCACGTCCCCTAGTTTAAGTCATGTCAGACCACTTGTTTTCACATATTGGGTGAGAAATGTAAAGTTGAGAGAACCCTTAAAATAACCACACATTTGTAGTAAGGAATATAGCATTAAATTCAGCAGTGCAAGGACTCTGCAAGTCTAAACAACAGGTTAAAAAATGCCAATGATCTATTTGCAATGGATACCAAAAGCACAGGATCTATAACCGGTGCAAGTCAGAAATTATTTACTATGAAAAAAAAAACCTGTCATTTGCTGCTTTCTTGCTCAAAAAACAATGAAAACTTCAGTAAGATGGAGTGTATATAACTCATTGTGATTGTACTGCTGAAGAGAAAATGTGGGGGAAAAAAAAAAACCACCTTATTTTTTCCTCCTCCCTTTGCTTACTGAATGAAACTATTGGCCAGAAGAATTAACTCTTCCCAGAAACTTTTTGGTGCATTTTATTTTGTTTTTCAGCAGGAGCAACATTCACTGTGGAGCCAGGGAGATGTTTGCATGCATGTGCAGTTATTTCACTCTTGCATATTATTTCTTGATCATTCCTTCCCTACTGAAAACTTCTACTGTTTGATAGAAAAGCATTTCCCAGGTCAGCTCTGCAAGAACTCTGTCTTCCTCAAAGCACTGGCCGATTGCCCCAAGCTTTAAAAAAATCCTTCACAGAAAGTCTGAAATAGAAAAATATTTTTATTTACAAGAGTAAATAATGTAGTGCAAGGAGAGTAGATTTAACCCTCAATAATGCATAGACTGATGCAATTTAGAATCTATGTGATTTAAATAACTTTGCAGAGGTGTATGCACATTGCTTTAAAGGTCAGATCCTTCCTATAGCCACTTACCTCACAGCTTAAAATCAGACAGAAGACATTTCCACTCTATACTTATTACCTGTATAATCCCATCTAATATTTATCAAATAAACTGCCATTTAAACAAATATCTTTAAAATTTACTGTAGGACCAGAAAAAAAGTCCTCACTAGTATCAGGTATAAAAGAACTTGAAAATAAATTGTTCTTTCACTTTATGTCACCTGGCCCATTTTATTTGTTATTATTATTACTTTTTTTTTTAAGGACGTTATGTTCTCTTGGGTAGGGGGAGGGATGCATGTTGGGGAAATGGACGGATGGGCCATTAATTGCTCTGTTCCCCAGGGAATTGTTGACACTTTGGAACTCTGGCTCCTCCAAGATTAGCCAGCGGGTCTGCCAGGCCGTGATCGTATTGAAATCTTTCTGGTATGAGGTTTGATTTTAAAGGAAAATGCCTATTCCAGGACGGAATATGAGATTCCACCCCCCTAAGAAAAGCAAGCAGCAGTCTCATTATAGTGCCTGGGGAGCTGAAGGGCAGGCGGACGCGCTGCAGCGTGCGGCTTTCCTCCTTGTCCTGTGTTCACACAGCCAGCTTGGGCACCCTCACTACAACAAGCTCAACGGGGGTAAAGGCAGTCAGGTAATGTTTTAGGTGATGAGTAAAATCTGCTCTTCACTGAAACCAGGGGCAGTTGCGTTTGTGCAGAGACAAAGATTTTGTCTTTGTCCATTAAAAAAATACCATATAATCTAGTTGGGTCTAGTGAGAAAATCAGTATTCTCTACTTGGCTTGTTAAGGAGGCTATGAGGTGTTGTTTTGTTTTTTTGTCTCTCTCTCTTCCATCATGGATAAGTTAGATCAGTGGATTTCCATATGATTTTGGCTGTTGGAGATTGTTATTAATGCTAATCAACAACTAGGACTTCTAGTTTTTAGGTTTGTAACTGTTCACATCCCATTTTCATGATGCGATACCAGCCTTGGAAAAACAAATATTACCCCTCAGCTGGTAACAAGCTGATTCTGAGGGTTTAACTCCTGCTGTGCAGGACCATTTGTAAAAGCAGATTCTTCTTGTTGTTCCGTTCTGGTAGCATCCTCATTACTCCCCGTTGAAGAGGGCTCATCTAAAGATGGTTCAGGTCTTCTTCCAAGAGAATTATTGGCTTCAGAAAAATAACAAAAGAAATAATTTTAAAAATCCACTCTATTGATAAAGTGTATTTATCAATATTTACAATACTGTGTTGAGTTAAAATAGCAATGAGCAATACTAAGAAGACTAAACGTTAGGAAACATTGAAATAAGAATTCTTGTAATGTTAACTATGCCCTTTGTATGTACTCCTTATGGTTCTCAACCATTTTCAGCTAGTAAGAAATGAAAGCAGGATTTCAAAATTATTTCCCTATTAGATATATTTAAAGCTACATCTCTTAAATATTACTTAATAATTATTAATTATAAAAAATGACTTGAATTTTGCTTCTGAAAAAGATTTTAAATGGTATTCCCTATTGCTGTAGGACATGAACTTATCAATTTATTTTCTGTAATAAAACACAGGAAAAAAAAAGATTTGGTCAGATGAACAGTATTTTTGTAAGAAAATTCATTTAGTGGAAGAAATTCTCTTCATAATTGCTAATATTTCCCAGCTTCCTGATCAAGATTCTGTCTTGTGCTTTAAAGTGAAATAGTGGGTTAAAGTTGTCAATGCTTTTTGAATGACTCCTTATTTTTGCATATGGCAAAAGTTCTGTTTTTTTTTTTTTTTTTTTTTTTTTTTTTTTTTTG